TCTTGCCCAAGGATATTTGGCATGCAGCCAGGAGGCAGCCTGATCGAACCACCGACCTTCTGATTAGTGGTTGACCCGCTCTGCCACCTGAGCTACAGCCACCCCACTGATATTTATTTTGTTATTACATAAACAGCTCTTTAATTTGCAGTTACATCTGTGTGGTGTTGGAGTCTTTATCTTGCAGCACGCTCAGAAACTGGCCACAAATGAACTAATAATACAAGTGAAACTTGTTGTTATGATACTTTAATAACGTTTTTATATTATGTCAAAAAAAGAGAGAGAAAGTCATAATTATGATATTTAGGCTCATTATTGTCTGATATGAGGCATTAAGTCATTGTTAATTATTAATTAGAAGATGCTAAATCCTAATTTTAAGATATGATGAAGGCAAAGCTTCTTATAAGTATATGAGGTCCAAATGTCAAAAGAAAGACATTCATCAGTATGATAATAAAGTTCATTATCATAATAAAGTCATCTCATAGGAGACACTAAATGATTGTTATGAGAATTTCCATCAAACCTGTGAGATACTAACTTGTAATTAAGAGATAATAAGTCATAATTATGCTTACTCACATTGTTATTGGTGGCAGTCTTCCATAGGGATTTATTATTAAAGGTTTAGCTACTAAATCTTAAAGGATGGTGAAGTAAAACGTTCCTTCACTGTTTATTGTAATGAGTGAACTATCCAGCTTGTTCCACAGTATTTTAGTTTCACTTTGGTGTTATTTTTCCCTGATGTGAAGACACATCCCTGGTAGGTCAGGGCCCTGGCTGTCACATGGCTTATTCATGACTCTCTTGAGATGGACGAGGCTCGTTTAATCACATAGAGGTCAGACCCTCACTCTGAAGCTGCAGGGGCGTTCATGAGACACAGAAACTTACTTACTTACATCATTCCTGATTTCTTAGTTGTTGTGTATTTGTCATGCTTACATGTTCCAGATCATCGAACACATTTAACACTAGACAAAGATAACACAAGTAAATACAAAATCATTTCTTCATTGTGGGAAAAATGCTATCCAAACCTACCTGCCCCTGTGTGAAAAGGTGATTGCCCTATAAACCTCATTAATGGTTCTTGTGCGACTCTTGGTAGCAATCAAGTGTTTGCGATAACTAGCAATGAGTGATCACTGTGGAGGATCTTCAAGATCAGCTTTTGTCTCATCAGTCCACAGAGTATTTTTGCCCAGTCTCTTTCTTATTGTTGAACTCTGACCTTAACTGAGACCTTAAGTGAGCCCTGCAGTTCTGTAGATGTTGTTCTGTGTTCTGTTGTGACCTCCTGGATGAGTCATCAGTGCACTCTTGGAATAATTTTGGTTGCCCAGCCACTCCTGGGAAGGTTCACAACTCTTTCAAGTTTACTCCATTTGTGTAAAATGGCTCTTTATTTGGTTCACTGCACTCCTGAAGCCTTACAAATGGCTTTTTAACACTTTTCCAGACTGATAGATGCCAGTGACTTTGTTTCTCAGCTGTTTCTGTAGCTGTTTCAACTCTTTTAGCCTGCCTCATTTTGTCATACATGTTCTGTTTTAATTCAAATTGAACTCAGTTTTCCAAAAATGTGGTTAATCACAGGTAATTTGCAGTGAATTTCTTTTTCACACATGGCCAGATATGGATAGCTTTCCCCCCCCTAATAAATAAAATCATCATTTCAAAACTGCATTTTATATTTAGTTGGCTTATCTTTTAAAAATAATATATTAAAATTTGCTTGATGATCTGAAACATGCAAGTGTGACAAATATGCCAAACAGATCTAAGAAATCAGCACATTTACAGCCCTTACGTTCACAGTGCGCATAGTGACTTCTTCTGAGACAACCGGATCAAAATGCAGGCCCCGTCTCTAACCTTTGAGATCTGCAACAAGCAGTGGTCTCCAAACTCAGTTCTCTCCAACTTAAGAGTTGATACCATAAAAATAAATAAATAATTTTGTTGTCATCTCGGAGTCAAGTTGGGCCCGGCCTGCTCCAGAAACGAAAATGACACCTCTTGACTCTGACAGGCACACCTTGAATTTTTAAAAGGGGTCACCTGAGGCTGACGGGAGAGCCCTCCCAACCATGTACGCCCTCCTCCGGCTGTAGTTGCGCGCTTCTGCCGGGAGGTGTCGCGACTATGCGGCTTCACTCGACTCGCTGCAGGACTCTACGGCGTCTGGCAGGGGTCATGATTTGATTTACTACGGCAAATAATAATCTTCCCCTTTTTCATTAGCAGCGGGCAGCTCGTCAGTTAGAGAGGTGAGGGATTAGAAGCGCAGAGATGGCGTGAGCTGCCAGAAGATTAAGATTTCACCAGCGAGGAAGTGATCGCCGAGCCCCACGGAGGAAAGTAACGGTAGTTTGTGGCCGGAGGCAGCATCGCCACTTCTGACTTTTTTCCCTGGGAACGAGTCAGTCCATCCGGTGAGTGGATTTACAGCCGGTCGCTGAATTAATAACTAGTTAATTAAGCCGCCAGGAGTCCGAGAGACAGGTTAGAGGCGTTCACGGCTCTCCTGCGGGGAGAACAGGGTTGAATTTCCCCGCATAGCTAGCACCAGCTCGGCTGTATTTTTGGATAGAAAGCAGGCTATCAGCGAGCTAGCAGCTGAAGCTAACAGCTCAGTTAAACTGTCCTGACACCTAACTTAATGGTCACCTGTGTTAGCGCCACTTAACGGCCGGTTAGCTGAGAGCACAGAGGCACTGCTAGGACCACGCTAGGATCTGGAGGTCAACAGGCTGGAGTCCTTTAATCTGGAGGTGATAGTTGTGGAAACTTGGCTCTAATTCTCGCCTTTTTTGTTCTCCCCCTCATTAAATCACAGCAAAGCTGTGCAGGAGAATGAAGCCCAATGCCGGGCACAGCCCTCCGCAGCAGAACAGCCTGGAGCTCTCTCCTTCTTCCACATTAGCTGCCTCCTAAGCACAAGCGCCGAGTACGAATCCTGCTGCAGGTCCTGCCAACTGTAACACCTCTGCTGGACCACCGGCGAGGAGGGAAAACAAGACCACCTGGGGGAGTCTGCTTCCTGCAGCCATGGAGGAGGAGGTGGAGGCGGTGAGCATGGAGTACCTGCTGGAGCAGGTGACGCAGAAGGACCTGGGGAAGAGGCTCCAGGTGGGCCAGGAGGTCATGGAGCTGATCCTGGATGAGGAGAGGTCCCCGGAGCTGGAGCAGGACCAGAGCATGCTGGACAGGATGGTGGACTGCGTGGCCAGCTCCTGGGTCAATTCCAGCAACTTCAAGGTGAGCAGAGCAGCAGCAGCTGGAGGGTGGAAATGGGGTAAAAAGAAAAAAAAGATCCCAGTCCTTACATCTGTCAGCGTGCTCATGAATACAGCACTTCAGCCTCAGCTGTTGCAGTACCGAGGGAGTGGTGCTTTTATTTAGTTGTGAAACTCGGCTTGAGAAGTGCCCTTAATATAGAGTGTTGGCTGGGTGTGTTAACTGTCTAACACACCATTTCATTAGGTTTCTCATCGCTCACTGAGTGTATTTAAAAAAAAAAAAAAGAGCTGAATGGCTGGTCGTTTTGGGAAGGAAACACTCAGTTTAAGTCACGATGAGGGAATTCCTGAGCTGTGGAAACCAAAAATTTTAAAGCCGACCTGTAATAACATGGCTTTAAACAGCTCGATAAAATAGAGAATTGGCCAAACAAAGCCCCACTAAATACAAGTGTGGTGTTTATTCTGTTATCTTTACCCTCCAGATGTGTTGTAATGTTTGGCTTCCTGTTGACAAATGACACATCTTTGTAATGTCAGCTGATGTCCTGAGAAATGACTGAAGTTAAGAGTTGAATTTCTGGTTATTTTAGGACCAGGATAAGTTATTAACAACTTAGTGATATGCAAAAGTCTTCTTGGGGTAAGCTTTGAAAATGATGGTGAAAACCTGCTGAGCAGTTTTCAGTGCTTCTTGGTTTCAGATTGTGTTAGTGTACGGTGCCAAGGAGATCTAAGCATCTTTTCTGTTAAATAGAAGAAAATAGAGTGCAGAATTCTGATTTATTTTATTGTCGTTTTTTAAGGTGGTACTTTAAGTCTTCCTGCCTCTTATTTCCCACCTCGTTTGTGTGTTGGAGCCTTAAACCGCTCGATGCTAATTACCGCAGCTCCTCGTGGAGCGCTGCTCTGTCTGAGAGCTGATGAATAACCCACCAGCCTGTTTACCTTCAGCTGCAGTCAGCCCGGTTCCCCGTGCTGCTCGATTAGCATGCTGTACATGGACGTTTGCTGCTGCCACCGCTGGTGCTGGTTAATCAATAGAGTTGGGAGTAGTGCACAGTAATGTAGAGCTGCTTTAAGCTGATGATGTCACTTTTTAATGCAGCGGTGGCAGAGAGGACGAATCAGAGTCGTGCTGACTCCACAAATATGCAAAATAAAACAAAAACAACCATCTGCTGTTTAAGTTTGTGTAGTTTAAACAAACGAAACTGTCAATGAACCCTCGTGTTCCACGCTGGTCAGATAGAAAGGCTGCGTGTAAATGTGCCAGACTTTGCCAAACAGATGCTGAATAAAAGCACATAATTGATTAATCGATTTATCATAGAGCATCTAAGGACAGTTACAGAGCTCCTGACCCTGATGATGGATTTACTCAACTGTTGCCATTTTTCACCAGCTCTGCTTCTTGTACAAACTACATGTTCTTTTCTAATATTACTTATTAAAAATGCCTTCAAACTCAAAGCCAGACTGTGGGAACAAACTGTCCAACATATCTGAGGCTTCTGTAATGTCTCTCAGGTTTCCTTCATATATGTTCTTCTCATGGTCGTATTTTTGTTGGGTTCAGTTAAGTGCACTTTTATTTATATAGCAGCAATTCACAGCAACATTCAGTTAAAGACCGTATAATAACACAACGAAAACCCCAATAATCAAACGACCCCCCCTATGAACAAACATTTGGCGACAGTGGGAAGGAAAAACTCTCTTTTAACAGTACGACTAGTTGGAGTTGAGCGGAGGAAGTCAGGACAAATTTATGTATTTGTTTCTGATATAGGTAGAGTCTGTGTTACCTGATTTAATAGAAGGGTTTTTCCTGTCTGATAGACAAAAGAACCCAAAACAAACGGTGTTAATATTCAGTGAATGAAACCCCAATGGTAAAAATGCTTTGGTGGAAGACCACATGTTTTTTTTATAAACATCTGTTTTACAAAATAGATGTTTGCACCATTGTCTACCAAAGGAAACCCTCTGATGTGAATCACAGCTCCTGAACGGCTGCTAAACTTTTAGTCTTATTAACTAAAATGCCGGATTTTTCACTGGAGTCTGGTGTGGCATCATTTCACTCAGTAGTAAGAGCAGCAGACACATACGGACCAATCGTATTGCTGCATCCCGCACTGCCCTGGAAACACAGCCTCCTCTGTCCGTCCTGGTGATATCTGTGGGGCCGTAACGAGGACGGCGAGGCTCCCAGGCGAGCACGGCAGAGGCAAGCTTAATTTACCAGCACCCATTAGCCCAGTTTCCTGCTCTGTGTGAGCAAGCCAGCAAGTCTGACAGAGACTCAGCTTCCAGCCAGTCGCTGCCGTTAACAGGGCACTAAAACCTTCCAGCGCTGAGTGTGAAGGATGGAGGAGGGCTACTTCACAAGCTGTTAGGATAATGGCTCGTGTTAATTGATCACAGGCCTCTGACGTAAATTAAAAGGCTGTCCAGCCAGCTGTAAATACAGGCTGCTTATGGGTGGCCTCTTATGGCAAAAGTGAAGTGCTTAAACATGAGGGAGGGATTTAAGATGGTATGAATAATGGACACATGTTTAGATTCATCTCCACATTGATTTCTTCCTCTCTTTAGTGGATCAAATGTCAGAAACACTCATTTTATTTGTAGTAGTCGAATTATTCAAATGTCACCACAAAATCCAAAGATATTCACTTTATCATCATGTTGAAAAGCAGCAATTCTCCCTCTTCATATACTCATGTCCAGATGTTTTTGGGTGATCTAAAGGTTAAAGGTCATATTTTGGTTATAAAAGTGAGTCTATAATACCTTAGTTATAAGATGTCAAAGCATTTTCCTCATATTTCACAATTAATTCATTGCACAATTAATAAACAAAAGTGTATTTTATGTAAGTGAGACCTACCCCAAAATAAGTGACCTCAGTGGCTTTCCTTTAGTGGACACCAACAGATTTCATATGCAGGAAAAACAAAACTGTTATCAGTTAATCATTTTAGTCACTTCTAGCATCATGATGTATTTAATATTTTTTGTCAGAATCAGTGAAAATACTCTTTTATAGATACACAGTCGATTGATTAGTAAGCAAACAATCATTAGTTGAAATGACAAAACCAAAACACAGCTAATATGAAAATTTGGGTTATTATCTAAAAAGTGTGACTTAATAATGCAAAATTTCAAGTTATTTTCTCCAAAGTTTGAGTCAGTAACATGAAATTTTGAGACAATAATTGGTTTAATCATTTTTGACTTATAGATGGCAACTTATTTTCTTCTTTTTAGTGGGAGAGACAAGATTCCACAGAAAACTGAAAACATGTGAGATTAAATCAAATCTAAGAGCTCAATGAACGAAAACATAAATGCAACAAAAACCGGAATAAGTTAAAAAAAAATTTAAAGAACCGAAATAAAGTATAAAGTTTACAGTAGGTATAACGTTCAATTTGAAAATGTATATATATAATTTTTAAAAAATTATATAAAATTTAAAAGACGCTCAGTGAATATCGCTCCAGGTATATAAGAGCTTACAGGTAAATATGTAACAAATGTGAGTATGAATATATAAAAACGAAGTATCTTCATAAATTTAAATAAAGTCCTTGGAAGAAGAATGGCGTTGTTAAACAATGAAAATAGATTAACTCTACGTCAGTGTCGTTCCGCTCTCCGTCCA